CAATCGGCGCCCGCGACACGCGGCGCTGCTTAAAATTGAAATTAAGTTTAACTCACAAGGGCCTGCAGAACAACCAATCGGCGCCCGCAACACGCGGCGCTGCTTAAAATTGAAATTAAGTCTAACTCACAAGGGCCTGCAGAACAACCAATCGGCGCCCCGATCAAGATGGAAGAGGGAAATAGTCGACTCTGATTGGTGGATTTCCTTACGATTTACGTCTTACGTCTTCCGTCGATTCGTGTGTCCGGGGCTTAACACATAATACGTAAGCATAAGAAAACTGATTGATCTATTTCTTTATGCACATATGTATGGACCAATCAATTTTCTTATGCTTACGCATTATACGTTGTGCAGAAGTGTGTGCTCCCCGCTTAAGCCTTAAAGCGGAGAGCACACACTTTTGCACAACGCATAATACGTAAGCATAAGAAAATTGATTGGTCTATTTCCTAATGCACATGTGTAGAGACCAATCAAATTTCTTATGCTTCCTTATTATGCGTTGTGCAGAAGTGTGTGTCCGGGCCCTAAGGGCCGATATCACTAGTCTCCGATAGAGGCCTAGTATCTAGGCCTCTAGTCTCCGATATATTCTATATTTAAGACCATCTTAAATACAATCTTAATTTGTCATTAACTAATCACAGAGCCGCATTAGCATCTTAAGATATATTACTTAAGGCCATTGCACGTAACAAAATTTTAGTCATAATCGTAAGGCCGTAAGAAAATATACCAATCACAGTCGATTATTCTCCTTGAGCTCGAAGAATAATCGAGTGTGATTGGTCTATTTTCTTATGGCCTTACGATTATGACTAAAACTTTGTTACGTGCAATGACCTTAAAGACGGTCTTGAAATAAGATCTGATTATAGCCCCTTGCACAATGCCAGGCAACAGCTGCAATAGGAACAGGGAATAGAAATCAGAAATCCATGTATAAATGCAGAATAAACACAATTCTGCACAACGCATAATGCGTAAGCATAAAAAAATTGATTGGTCTATTTCCTTATGCACATGTGTATGGACCAATCAATTCTCTTATACTGGGTCTACAATGCGAGTCGTGGGTCGTGGGAGCTCTTTAAGGCTGATTTATAGAGGCCGTAACCGTTGATTTAAGCCGCAATATTTAAGAAATTGACCAATCACAGTCGAATGTGAGAAGAAAAATCGACTGTGATTGGTCAATTTCTTAAAGATTGCGGCTTAAATCAACGATTACGGCTTCTATAAATCAGCCTTTACTCCTTGACTTGTCTCGGCGTTTCTCGGATTCCTCCGTGTTCCTCCTGTTCCTCCGCGTTCCTGTAAATCCTGTATCGGTGTTGGTGTATCCTGCAGCCCGCGTTCCCGCGTACAGGTTACGTCGCGTCGCGAATCTTACGAAAAACTCTCTGTGAAATTAATCGACGCGTTTTCGAAATGAACGCGAAGGAGAATTCGACGGCGCCAACGACGAAAGGCACGAACGCGTCGAACGCGCCAAACAACGCGAAGCCCTACGGCAAGATCGTATTAACGTTGCAAAACTGTCTCCTGCCCGACGAAAAACTCAACTCCACCCCGTCGCATTCGGATGGTCTTGATGCGGAAACCGAAACGGACTTGCGGATACTGGGATGCGAACTCATACAGACGGCCGGCATTCTGCTAAAATTACCGCAGGTGAGTTTTCGCGCGCCAATATAATATCGGACTTGTCGGAGCCCACAATCCGATAATCTTTCTAACCTCAATCTTCCAATGTCTGCAGATATGTCTCTAGACAGTCTATAGACATCAGACAAAATCTAAAAGTGTGATCTACTTGATTAATTTCGTGTTTTTGCATTAATGTGTTCGTCCAATTTCGCGCATTTAATTTTACTCGAATGTACGCGCGATCATTGTATTACTTTTTTTTTTGTCAATCGCTATATCGTCGCAATATACAAAATGTACATTTATACGGCTTGTACGTATATTGTATTAACATTTTTGTCAAGATAAAGCTTTACGTTATCGAGCCGATATGCGCATACTATATATAGGATTGAAAGAAGTATTTGAATCCTAGTATTGTAGACTTTGCTGATCCTATAAAAAATTCGATATTTACGCGTATAGGACTTTACTCTCTTGATAAGACGTTTAAACATTAAAGCGATCTAAAATTTTATCTAAAAATATATTTGATATCTACATTATTTCAATTTTTTATATGAAGAACTCGTTGCTCGTGCGGTCAGTTTTAACCCTTTGCGGACAGACCTTTTACGTGTATATCGTTCGTTTAGTACAAAACTGACAAAAACAGCTCAAGATGTATGTACTTTCCAGAGAATCTCGATTTCACAAGTGGCTAATGTAGTGACAAATGAGAGTGACGACGTGTACGCTGGATATAAGTCGACATGTGTTGCACAGCAAAATCCAAGTGCGGCAACGGAAATATCTCTGCTTGTGTCCCTAAAGGGTTAAATATTGTTGATATATCAGAAGTTATGTTACAAAACAGTGTGATCTAATTGTCCTTTTCGTTTTTTTTTCCATTTATTTGCGTAGGTTGCAATGGCCACCGGGCAAGTAATATTCCAACGGTTTTATTATAGCAAATCTTTAGTTAGGCACAATATGGAAACAACTGCGATGGGTTGCATCTGCTTAGCCAGCAAAATCGAGGAAGCACCTAGGCGCATCAGGGATGTGATCAATGTTTTTAATCACATAAAACAGGTCTCCAGCCAAAAGTAAGTTTTTCTCGTACTTTTGTTTTACGGTACAAATAATACGTAAGCATGTAAAAATGCTAGAAAGGAGTAGAAAAGAACATTTAAAACGTCACTCGCACACGTTATTTCAGAGCGATACAACCTGTGATTCTCGATCAGAATTACGTAGCTCTGAAGAATCAGGTGATCAAGTCGGAGAGAAGAGTGTTGAAAGAATTGGGTTTCTGCGTTCATGTAAAACACCCTCACAAGATCATAGTCATGTATTTGCAAGTGTTGGGATACGAGAAGAATCGCACGCTGATGCAGCAAAGCTGGAACTACATGAATGATTCGTTGCGCTCCGATGTGTTCTTACGTTATCAGCCAGAAACAGTGGCATGCGCATGCGTTTATTTGGCCGCTCGTCAATTGCAGCTGCCTCTACCCACGTCACCCGCTTGGTTCTCGCTGTTCAGAGTCAGCGAGTCGGCAATCAAAGACGTGTGTCGGCGTATATTACGTCTTTACTCGCGACCTCGCGTAAGACCCGAGCAGTTGGAGAAACGCGTCGAGGAATTGCGACGTCAATATGAGGAGGCCAGAACCAAAGCGCGCGGCGGAGACGTTGACGGGCATACGCCGAGTCCACCATTGCCGAAACATCACAACGCCTGGGGTGGATTCATCAGTCGCAGTGGCACGCATGCAGCTCCCGAAAGAACAAAATCACCTAGGTACCACACTACCACGTCTTTGTATATGCGAGTTTAAAATAACAAACGCGCGCGCCCTGTTATGCATAAAAAAATATTACCATGTTTACGTACTTTTACGTAAAGATTGAAGGATGCTAGGCGACGTTTTCGTAGCTAGGCCGCGTTAGTAGTGTATCTCGTTTATGTACGCACAACGTCGAGAGTTTCCATGCCGTATATTTTCTACGTTGATTTATAGAACGTAACACGGTGATCCGTATCATTCGTAAAACACTACTTCCATGTATGTATTTCAGGCGCTCAAAATCTCCGAGTACTTCCCCATCGCGAGGCGAAGAACAAAAGTATCCCAGTAAGCGAAAAAGGCATAGCAGAAGTAGATCCCGAAGTCACAGTCACAGTAGGTCCAGCAAACCCAAAAAGACGCAGCGAAGACGATCAGGTAGCCACAAGTCGTCACGAAGATCCCGTAGTTACAGATCACGGAGTCGATCACGGGACAGGGATTTGGAGAAATCGAGCAAACACCGTAGTAAGCGTAGACGACTACACTAAATACTGACACATAGCCAGAAATGTTACCCTATTATGAATTAAATCACGATTGTACGCAAATTTGTAATATACAGACTTTATAGGCCTATCGCACGTCCTTTAATTTATTTCGAACGTAATATTCAGTTTTCCGAGATTATCTTGTAGAGTTTCCATACATGTGGTTATGCTACCAATAATATAATACGTCATAGATACGTTGCATTCTCCCAAGCTTCGTTTTAGCATTTTCATTTACAGGTATGTAGGTATGTACGTTATATTAAAAATTATATCAAGGCCGACGTGTACGTGTTTTTTAAATACTAAACTAAACGTGTGAAGCATTTTCTTTTTTCTGCTTTCGAAAGTATAGATGGATTAATACATAGATAGAGACACGTCGTCTAAAAAGAACAAAGATGTGCCAACGTCTAAATATGTTACATGATACACTTTTGTAAATTTTTATATAATGATTGACAAAACTATAAAAAGCTGTTTAATAAGGGGCGACGATACACGTCACAAGCAGCGCCGTTGTACATACACGAGGGTTTATACGTCCACTTTTAGAACGTACAAGCATCTTTATCATCTTATTACGTGCTTGTCATTATTTACTACAAAATTAAATTTCAACACGCAAATGTGTATCGTTCTTAGGAGAATGTTGTTTTGATATGCAACTACATTTCGTAAAGCCGCCATACCTCAAATCTGCCTTATGTAACATATGATACAATGTTACGAGAAAGGTACAGAAATAAAAAAAAAAGATGATAAGGTCAAGTGTATATCAAAAGTATGCAAGGATAGAAAAATAAAATTTTATATTCGTATCCCAGATTGTATCGTCTTAAAAAATCCTACGGGTAGTGCCTTTTTCTTTTCAGTAGCGATCACTGGCGAAAAATCCAAGACCAGTAACTGTGGGAGAAGATGTACGATGTAACCCCTGTAGCAAGGGACGTCTTCGATCGGATTACCGTGTAACGTCAGCGACCTGAGATTTTGTAACTTGCTGAGCTTTAGAACATCTGCGATATTTGCTATTTTATTGCCATGCAAATAGAGAATTTTCAGGTTTATAAACGTCTCCATGTCTTTTCCAATTTCATTTATCTCGTTGAAAGATAAATCCAACCAACTGAGCGACGCAGGATCATCGAGAACTCTTGCCACGAGACGTCCAAGACCTTCCATCGAGCTCAGTAGGTTGTTGCTCAGCCACAACGTACTGGTTACATAACGGTCCTTGATCGTTCTTACTGGGGCTTTTCCAGTGCGTATTACTTGTGCACGTTTCTCCATCAATTCTGTGAGGAAGTAAATCAAAGAAATACATTTTTCGTATAGATGATGACGCCCGTAACAAGGAGCTATATTAACGAGCTTCGTGACGCTTTTAAATTTGGTGCTAGGCGTTTTTTTACAATAAAAAGTTTTTAATGTGCACACGCAACTCGCAAAATAATGAATTAAAAGACTAAAAAAATGACATTCACGTTCACGTACCGTCCATGGTGGTGGCCTTTTTAAACGATAAATCCAACGGTGGGGCGACTAGCATTTCTTGTCGTTGGTTTCGTTTGTAATCCAAAGTATGATTTTGCGGAGAATACTTGGCGCTCATCGCGGATACGTGAACTTGATCCTTGACCGGCAACCTGGGCAACCTCTATTAAAAATCTCGGTCTCGACTCTCGAGAAACTATAAGTTTATATCTCGCGCTCAAGTTTTATTTTAATTCGCCAGTCTCGCCACTTCGGGGCGAGCGCCGCGAGCGGTGGCGCTAGTGAAAATTGTCCCTTTCTTTTCAAAACTTTAAAAGGAGGGGACGTGGATGACGCAGTCGGTCCGGTCAGATTCCCGGTCTATGAGGTCGAAGCAGGTCGAAGTATCCCGCTCTCTGCAGAGTCTGGTAAATAAATTGACGTAGCAACGGTTAAAACGGTTTCTCCGAGAAACGAGAGACTCGTTCACTTCACTCCAGTTCGTTCGGTTAGACTGGCCCTGGATCTGTTGTATGTACATACATTAGACCGTTGGCTCGGCCGTTGTGCTCGGTTGTGGTTATCGTCAGCGTCAGTTACCGTGCCGTAACGTGCGACGCGCTCTCCTGCGCCGTCAAAATGCCGAGGACCAAGCGCACCAAAGCGGCGAGCACGTCGACGAAGGAACGCGATACGGCGGTGAAAACTTTTGAGAAGCACGTACAGCTGCGTATCGCCAAGATGGAACGCGATGCCCAGGCGGATCTCAAGAGCTTCGAGGCCTTAATCGAGGTGATGATATCCCGCCTGCCGGCGGGAATTCGTCAAATGAAATTGGGCGAGTTAATCGACTGGCAGGACCACGACACGCGGAAGGAGACGGAGAAGGAGAACCGCAACGACCGCGACGAGGTGACCTTGTCGGTCAAGAATCTTCATATGCAACCACCCGCCGTTCCTAGAGCGAGAAAAGGGACCAAGACTGCTAAACGTCCCACCACCGCTGCGTCCGACGATGGATACGCGACCGAAGGCACCAGCGTGGGCAGCACGTCGCTGGCCGCTAAAGCACAGGCTCGAGCAGCGTCAAATGTAAGGACGCGCAGCTTCACACGAGCGAGCAGAGCCAAATTCAGCGGTATCACGCAGAACACGGTAACAACCAAGCGCAAGAGCAAGGATCGTCTGAATGAATCTTTGCTGAAGACAAATATTTTTCAGACGCCGGCAATGGTGAAGCCTCTAGACAACGTATACGGCGTGGTTACGCCAAAAGTCAAGCCCAACACGCCGTTGAACGTGCTGAGACGTCCGCGTCAAGGAGAGATGGTCCTTAGCATGCAAGGCAGCCCGCTATTGGTCTCTGCTGTCGTCGAAGAAAAAACTGCTAATATTAATGTACCTTTGGCTAACGGCAACATGATGTCCTTGTTGCCTCAAGAAGGATTACGCATGTCAAATATTCCTCCGCTGGATCCAGAGACGATGGATCAATTACAGACTCTTAAGAATCACCTTGAGAAAGTTGTCGCATTGAAGTAGTACGAAATATATATTAGCAAGTGTGTGTAGAGTACTAGAGATAGTGTAATATAACAAATTTATACACATGTCGCAAGATATTTTTATTCTACTTATTATATTTATACTCCCGCCGCGTAAGAAGAAAAAAGTGGAATGTGCCTTTACTCTTTCTCAACTTTTGTGAGATCTTGTACGAAATATCTTGAGCATGTCAAAAGCTCTCAAATATTACTTGATACTTGTAACTATTAGATTTTATAGATGTGTAACACTTTGGTTAGATGGAAATAATTCATTCGTTATGATTATAAATATTTGTATAAAGGTTTTTTTTTACGACACTGTAAACATTTAGTAATTTGACATATGTACTACTGTATTTTGCATTATTATAAAAGTATATAGATGGCCCTAACAATAAACTTGAAATATTCATACAATTGCGAAAGTTGTAACATGGTTCACTTATGTCGTGTAGGACGTTGACGAAATGCTACCTCGTAACTACGTATATTTTTCTAATATTTTGTCGTCTGTATTCTAGTTTAAATTCTCGTGATTCACAAAATGAGTGCGTTCAGCCGATACTCCGCTAGCCTAGCAATCGTGAGCAGTCGCTCGTTTCCTCTCCTTTTAATCCATTGGGTCAAAGGAGAGGAAACGAGCGAAAACGAGCGACTGCTCACGATTGCTAGGCTAGCGGAGTATCGGCTGAACGCACCCAAAGACTCGAATCCTATTTAGTGGAGACTCAAACCCCACTTATTGTTAGCGAGGACTCAAACCTCACATAAATAACAATATATATACATATATATAATTATTATCATTTATGATAATTATAATTTGATATCTATTTGGCGAAAATTTTATAGCGTTTGTGATTAGGTATAGAAACCTTTTTTACATATTCCGAATCATAGAGCAATAAACAAACGGACCAATCGCACTCGAGTATTCTCAAGCTTTCTATTTATATAGTTTCGGGCATGTTTATGTTGGGCTGCGTTCAGAAATTCAACCTGGGTAACTCTAAAGCCCCTTGCACAATGCCAGGCAACAGGCAATAGGAACAGGGAATAGAAATCAGAAATCATGTATAAATGCAGAATAAACAGTGACACAGGCACGAGACACAGAGTTTCCGTCACGTTGGAAATTCTGTGCCTCGTGCCTGTTGCCAACCAATCATAGCATTCGAATTTTTTAGGTTATACGTAACGATTTTTTGGTTATTTCCTGTTGTGCAAGGAGCTTTAGAGTTACCCAGGTTGAATTTCTGAACGCAGCCCTGTGACTCTGTGACGTCACTCATCACTGACGTCATGTGTTGCTATCAATTGCTGTGAATGTCTCACCGTGTTTCATCCTCAAAATGGACCGAAGGGATCGCGAACAAATAGATGCGTGCTGCGAAAATGTTGTGCCCAAAATCGATATGACGAAACTCTTGCCAAAATTGCTGGAAAACAAAGTTTACAACAGGGATGATGTAAACATTCCACGGTGGATGGTGAGTTTTATCTATCAAGTATTACGCAGTTAGCTGCGTACGTAACGAAGAGCTCGCACCTTAAACAATAGTTGAATATTGTCATCACATTCTAGTACTTGATCCATAATGTTTTTTCTCCTTTTTTCCTTGTAAACGAATAGTATAAATCTTGAATTCTTTTTAAATAAAAGTAATTTTTCGAAAGGTGTACCATCAAATTAATTTTTCTTTATATTTTAGAAACAACGTGATGTGACGTTATCCAAAAGAATGATTTGTAACGTGTGTTAAAATTATACTATAAGAAAGTAAATGAGGGATGGAACTATATATCATCTACATTAGGATCAACTACTATTGTATATATTTTTATTAGTTCAATATATATTAAGTACACAACTTGATCTACAATAGATATAAAGAATGTCATTTATGAGACGTATACTCACACGCGGCTTCAGATAGCTATCAGAGATAAAGGCTAGATAGAAATAAAGAAAAGGACGTATTTTGAAATATAAAATGCGTAAAGCCCCTTGCACACGAGGCGCGAGCGATAGCGAGAGCGGACAGCGACAGCGACAAAGGTATAGCTTTGTCGGCAACCTTATCGCTGTCGCTCGCGCTATCGCTCACGCCTCGTGTGCAAGGGGCTTAAAATGCTGCATAACTGTACACAATAAATAAAAATATAACTGAATGCAAGTTGAATGTATACGTGTGTCTGATTACAGAAGAACCTTGAAACGCAAGATACGGTTAAAGATGTATTAACAACAATTAAAACACGAGGACCAAATGCATTTAAAAATTTAATTCTTAGCCTAAAACAATCCGACCATGAAAATATAGCCAATATATTGGAGGGAAGAGATAACACAAGTAGCACGGGGAGGTACGACAAGTTTTGTTTTTCTTCCGCTTTCTTTTTTGTTTGTTAGTTGTTGGTTAGTCTTTAGATCTTGTTACAAGTTTACGTACGTTTTGTAAATATATACAAAATCTTTTATTTAAATTAATCACACTAACGATACATTTTATTCGAGTTTTAGGCAAGAAGATCCATTGGATCATATTTGGTCTGATAAACCTTTGACGATTAAAGTACGCAAAGCTATAACGTTCTCAGATTGTAACTACGATGTTATTGAACGATATCCTATGCGAAGTAACCCGCGTGGATTGGTTTTAATAATTACAAATATTTATTACGACGCGCCATGTGACAAACACAGATTTTCGGCAAAACATGACAAAGATAATTTGACGAAACTGTTTGAGGAAATGGGTTTTACAGTCGTTACCTATGGAAATCTAAAAGGACAGGTATAGAAGTGTTTACACGTGCGGTATATATTCTTCATTTAAATTTATATTCTTCCTCTGTAAAATTTATATATTTTGGGTTAATCTAAGAATCGTGCTATTAATGGCATTAACTTAGCTTTTTCCTTTTTATCAGGAAATGAGAGACAAAATTAAAGAATTTTCAAAAAGAGACGACCTTAGAAAGGTTGATTCGTGTTTTGTGATCGTTACGAGTCACGGTACGGAGGATGAAGAGAGCAACACAGAGATCCAAGGTACTGATTATCATAGCGCAAGCAAGCAAGCAAACTATGAGAAAGTTCTATGCACGGAAGTCTGTGACTACTTTACCACAGAAGCTTGTCCACAACTCGCGGAAAAACCAAAGATATTTATCTTTCAACTTTGCAGGTACGGATCTATAATTTTCTATAGTTTTATATTTTGTTGATTTCATCTTGTTACCATCTTTTATTGAATTTAAAGGTCAACGTATTAATATTGTTTTATGAAAATATCCAGTTCCCCGTGTATCTTGATAATTTTCTATATTTTTTTTTCCATATTTTCTTTTTCTTCAGAGGAAAGAAAAGACAGAAAGGTGTAGCTCACTGCAGAATCACTACGGACACCTGTGTATCTGTGAATCCAGCGGATGAACCCGGTCTAGAAATACCTGTCAAGCAACCTATTCAAACAATAAGAAATTATTCAGATATGCTTGTAGTTCAATCTACTTTGACTGGACACGTTTCTTATCGAGACTCCATAACTGGCAGTTGGTTCATACAAATTCTTTGTAAAATATTTATGAAACATGCTTACGCGAATCACGTTCAAGATTTGTTTAACATGGTAAATGTTATATGAGATATTAAAATCTAAACTTTAAAGCACGAATGACAGTAGTGCAAAGATCTATACGTATTGTGATTTGCAGATTGATGCAGAGTTGAAACAACTCAGAACAATGAACAACGAGTGTCAGACATCGTCTATACAATCACTCGGATTTAACAAGCATTGCTATCTCAATCCCGGCCTTTTCATGGAATCGTGACGAAAAGAAAAAAGTATGATACCTTATTGCATAAGCGAGAATACGCAATACTTCTTTCATACTTGATTTATAAATATTTTGATCCATTTAATTATTAGTGTCATTTTATATAAACGACGGCGTATAATGTATAATCCGTAGTGATGAGCAGTGTTCCAATCGTGTACGTATTCGTAATCAGATGAATGTTCTTAAAGTGATTTTTTTTCTCGCATGTTACTCCGCCGCATTTCCCACATAATCACATAAAGCTAAAAATGAATCAAGACAAAAAAATTAATACGTGTACAATGACATTTTTCATTCTACGAATTCATTGAAGTAAAAGTTGAGACTGAGGAAAAACTTCACAGTAAGGACATTCAACTGCAGAATACAGAATTTTATACTGTAAATGATGACAAACTGTAATCATATAAATTTTTATATAAACCATACAGAGATGAATTATTACCCGTTCTTCCATTCTTCGAGATGTGTGTGTGTGTGTGTGTGTGTGCGTGTGTGTGCGCGCGCGCGCGCGTGCGTGCGTGTGTGTGTGTGTATGTATGTATACATATATCAATACACACACACACACATCTTGTTGAGAAACGACATTATTTTTTGCACTCGTCTAAATCAGAAAAAAAGTTTTATTGTATTTTTGTACCTTGCAAGCTTAAAACACAATTTATTTCGAGCATCAAATAATATATGTAATGTCACTATATTCTATGTAATCTCGTGTGTTTATCCTATATTTACGATTTATCGCGATAAAGCGTAAACATTTACAGAAAAAGAGAGTACTCTTTATATAATTCACATTATTTAATATAGCTTGATTTATCTCCTAATCTCCTTACACAGATATAAATTACAAACGATGCAATATCCACTTGACTATACTAAATCCACTTTGACCACTTGTTTATATTCCGCTTTCAAGTGCCCCAATTATATAATTTGCAAAATTACATGCAAGCTCGCTACACTGTATAATTTTATAACAACGTGATGCAAAGAAATGATGCATAATGCATTTAATGCTCAAATATCCAAATTTCGCATGTTGATGAAATTTAAAGAATATAAAATTCCGAACCGTATTTGCATTGAGATTTCTATGAAAAAATCGGAAACGTTCCTGGATTTTTGTTCTTAAAATCTAACTGAGAAATATTTGTTACATATATTTCTCAGTTGTGTACATACATACGCAAAAGAAGCCAGTTATATGAACTTTTACGTATGAATAAATTAACTATAATCTACATAATACACGTTCGTTAAGTAAAAGTGTAGCTATTGGTTTTATTTATAGTGCCATACGTGATGGAATAAATAATGGATAATTAATGTCGCGGCACGCGAGTCCATGGGATGAAGAAGGAACGAAGGAGAGGAAGATGAATTTTACTTTATATTATTATATTTTCGATAAATGTTCGTGTTGACGTACTCCGCACGTAGGTAAGTACAGCGCGTAAAACCTAATGCCTAATACAAGGATTGCGCGTTGGAGGAACGTGGTCGTTTGATCTTTTCCAGGTTCTTGATCACGAGATCATGCAGCGAACAATAACGATTGCGAACTTCACACATGACGAGCCATAAGCTTACATACTCCTTCTCGTCTAGTTCTTGAATCGCTCTTCTATAATCGATGATGTGTGGGTATTTCGCGACTTTACTAACAATCTTTCCTCTAGAGATGAAATATCTGTAAAACGAAGAGTTGAGGGGTAAAAGACGTTTTTCCCGTAGTCGTAGTATACAAATATTGAGAATGCAGTTGTCCTTACACATAGACATACATCTATATCGTTTATTCGTAATATTCCGTACCTAGAAATTTGATCGAAGAATGCCGCGGCTTCGCTTTCAACCGATTGAATTTCAGATAATGTATCTTCTTGAATAGATACACCAAAGTTGTTTCCGTCTTCGATTTTTGGGATTAAAAAAGAGATCCACATTTTTAGCTAGAAAATTGAAAACACGTGTACGTTCCGTCAACTATATTCAACGGGTACGTAAAAAAAGATTATGGTACCGACGAAAAATCATTCTGTATCAATCAATATATTCTGAATAGACGTGGAAGAAAATTTCATAAAATTGCCTTAATTTTTTTAAAATAAAGTTTCCAGTATGTAATCCTATCTTTTGTACGCACTATGAAAAAAAAAATGTATATAAAAGTCTAACTTGTATATATGTAGATGTTGGCATACTTGATACTCACTAAATTGGAATCCTCCAAGAGTTGCCTGATGTAGGGTTTAACTATGTGAATCAAATCGCACAACTTTTTATTGCATGGTACAGGGCCAGTTGGAAGCACCATAACTTTGGTTCCGCTGGTCTCTTCTCCATTATTGTCCAATTTAAGCTTTTTCGCAGCAGGGGCATCTTCGGAATGATTAAGAATTATAGGGTCTGGAATGGGTACATTTAAGTCTTGATGTACATCGGACAGCTTTCGATTGCTAAATCCAGGTGTCTCCAATAATTCATTTAGTTTAACTATTTTTTCTGGAAATCCTTTCACCAACAACTCTTCAGCCTGAACAAACATGCACAAACATAAACGATAAATATATCGTGCGCAACTCCGTCACTCCATATACGCATATCGCGCGTCAAGTACGGTTTGTTAAATATAAACGTGTAACGTTATCACGCAAGAGAGAAGAACAAGCGTACCTTGGTTTTAAGAGAATCCTTATATTCCTGAACCTGTAAGATAAACTCAAAAAATATATCACTTTGATAAGATACGTGTGCATAAATAACAAGATTTCACATGGTGTATACAAAACTTTACAACTATTAAATAAATACGTTATATACGATGTCCCAGCAAATAGAAATAAATAGTATAAAAGTGTATCTGTAATATCGATCCGTCATATTAGGTAATAAATAATGGTGTTGCACGTAGCACGTCATGCGTAGCACGTTATTATATCTGTAGCTACCTCATTTTCTGTATAACCACTTGGTAACACATTATTTGATTCATTCCTTGGATTACTTGGATTATTAGAGATTGTGGAAAACATTTACATAAAAGTTGAACAGCAGTTAAATAGTAGAGATATCTAATGAAAGTTTAGAAACTTTCTTGAGCAAGAATTTCTAGAAATTTCAATTTGTATTATGTGTGACGTGTGACTTTATGTAACTTGAGCAATTTCAATAGGTTATGACAGATTATTCGTCAATTGTTTGTCACATAAACAACTTGTGCAAAAAATTTTTAGCCTTTAGCATATAACAATAACCTATTCAAGTTTTTACATTATTTTAAGAATAAATAAAAAATGGGCTCCTTTCTCACGTGTCGGATCAGGACACCAGTGTGTACCAGAGATATAAATATTTACTCTTGTGATATTTTTTAAAAAAGTACCTGATAGAACTTGAGGTAACTGCAGAGTATGCATTAAAATTAACGTGATACTATGTTGCGCATAATGGTTCCAATAAACGTACTAACATTAAACATCAACGTTTACAGATCGTTACATACCAAGTCGATTTTTTATCATAAATCATAAAGATTCATTATATAGTTTACAGGCGTTTTTCACTTTCTACGTATCTTTAAAAAAAATTATAAACAAACTCCTGATGATCAGTGAGTGAAAGAGAAGAAACAAATTTTACCGATATATTAAAGTCATTTTAGGGGAACCAAACGGTTGCATCGTAAATTTTACAAATTAGAGTATCGTGTTATACCCTGCCTTATATAGAAAATTGCCATGTAAATATTGTGGTCCGTGTGGCTAATGTGGATATTTATAATATATTATAAGTAAGAGTAATTAAAACTAGCAACCCTAACACATAATTCTTTCTTTCTTATAGAGACGCGTGCGAGGAAGAGTTTGAAGAATTTGCCAACGTAACGAGCGATCATCCAGCATGAATCAGCAACGACCTTCACCATTTATCGAACGCTACTTGTTAAAGTTACTTAAACGGCGGCGACTATCAATATCCTCATCTCGAGACGAGATTCAACGAGATTTTACCGTTGGATTTATCTCATTTCGTTGATCGTTGCGAGATTCAACGAGATTTTACCGTTGGATTTATCTCATTTCGTTGATCGTTGAAAGTGAAAAAACGAGCGATAAACGCGCGTGCGGATGAAGCGGAGTCAACATTCGCGACGAAAGGAGGTTAAAGCCGCGTACGTTTGCCAGATATTTTTTTTTTCTTACGGTATTCGATACTCGCGGGACGCGAGCACGCGCGGCAGATAACGGAACAAAATGAGACAAGTCGAAAAAGAGAGATCGCGGCTCGCGGCGAAAAAACTCGGAGCGTCGCGACGCGTCGCGACGCGACGCGACCGTCACTCGTTCGAGTAAATACCGGTGGCTTAACCTAAACTGAGCATCGTTCCGTACTGTCGTTCCGTCGGACTCGGCCGTCCGTTTCCTCGGCCTCTCGCCTCGTCGGCGACGCGACGACCGACGACATACGCGAGATGGTTTACCTTTCCCACCGTAGCATCCTCCATTATACTTTCCGTAGGAAAAAAAGCTCTCTAAACCTAAGCACTGTGCGTCCCTTTGTTAAAACGTGCGACTTTAAACAGGAAGTCGCTACCATCGTGTTCCTCAGCTCCTCCGCTCTCCACTCTCCACGCTCCACCGCTACAACGTACGTAGTCAAGCGAGAATCTCTCGTCTTCGGATTCCTCCATGGTAAATTTTCGTTCATCCTTAGCTGTATATACTGCCTCTGCCTGTATTTCCGGGTACTCTTTTTCTCTCGCGTCTCGCGTCTAATCATGTGGGAAATATATTTTATCTTTTCGACAGGGATAGAAGGAAGTAAGGGACTAATGCTAGGTCTACAATGCGAATCGTAAAGTCGCGAGTCGTAAGAATTGACCAATCACAATCGAATTTGAGGAAAATAATCGACTGTGATTGGTCAATTCTTATGACTCACGACTTTACGACTCGCATTGTAGACCTAGCATTATGGTTATTCTACATAGAAGTCGTAATCGTGAGTTGTAAGAAATTGACCAATCACAGA